GGTAGATCGTTCCACAGGGCCGGAGCACTACAGAGAAGGCCCTCCCCCGAGGGGTCATCAGCCGGCATTGTCCGGTCGACGGCACCCGGAGAAGGCCCAGCCTGTGAGATCTTATCGGCCGTTGGGAGGTATGTGGCAGGAGACTGCTATTGAAGCATTGCTTTTATTATGACCAGTTAAGATGTTGTAAAATCATATGTAAGCTTTCTTCAGAACAAAGAGCATATAAATCCAATAAACCAAACCAAACCAAAGTATAAGCAGAAGTTAAGAAATGGAGAAATACTACTCCAATATTATTATAGAGAAATTTAAAAAGCCTCCCTAACATCTATCTCTTGGGGCAAATGGAGGGAAGATGCTTGAGGCTTCCTGTTCATCCTGTTTTTGTCATTGTTCTCATTAGCATAACTTAGTATGCAGCAATAGTGGTTTGCTATATATTACTTTCAATAAAGAGTTTAAAGTGAAGTTTTATATGAAACTCCAAACTTTAGAGTACACAATGGCTATAACCCTACTGTTCTTTTCTTGCTTCTCCTTTCTTCTCCCTGAGAGAGGTATTGTCTATTTGGTTATTCCCAGTTTTCTAGGTAATCTGTTTTTTTTTCTTTTTGAGTCATTGACAACAAGATACGAATACAACACACAGAGAACAGATTTAAAGATGTGAAACCATGTGCCAAACTACTGTAATGTATTTTAATATTAATAAATATAATAGCAATAGCACTTAGACTTAGATACCACTTCACAGTGCTTTTACAGCCCTCTCTAAGTGGTTTACAGAGTCAGCATATTAACCCCAACAATCTGGGTCCTCATTTTACTGACCTCAGAAGGATGGAAGGCTGAGTCAACCTTGAGCCTGGTGAGATTCGAACTGTCAAATTGCAGTCACTGGAGTCAGCAGAAGTATCCTGCAGTACTGCATTCTAACCACTGTGCCACCATGGCTCAATAATAATAATTGATACAATTGATTGTTTAATAATACCTGGTAATGATAACTATGTTGATTTTTAAAATGAAAATAATAGTGATATAATGCTGAGTTACTTTCACTTGAATTACACTGGTAGCGAATACTAACAATAAATGCAACCATTATTGTATCCTAAGGACAGTGATAACTGTATCAATGATAATGATTGCATGTAAAGCCTTCCATGGCATAGCACCTGGTTACCTAAGGGGCTGCACTTCTCCCATTGTTCTGCCTGTCTGGTACATTCAGGCAGAGTGGATGTGTTCCAGGTCTCCTCTTTTAAATGTTGTCATCTTACAGAACCTAGGAAGTGTGCCTTCTCTGATACACCCCCCACCCTATGGAATAGCATCCCTCTACAGATGCTGAGGCCAAGATGGCACTCTCCCTCCTGGGGCTCTGAAAAGCCTTTAAACCTGGCTTTGGTCCCAGACCTGGGATTAATGTACGCAAGGGATGAGTTGTCTTGCTTGTTTTAATAGTTGTTTAGTCCAGGCTGTCTTGTTTTATTTTATGTTTGTTTTGATTTAGCATTACATTTTATACAATACCCAATGTCCAGTGAGTGGGAGGCTATATTAAATCTAATAACCCAGTTGCCATCCATTACTGCCCCCTTCCCACTTCTCAATGTGGCTTTTGATTTGAAAATAGCTGTTGCCTCTAAAGGATTAAAGGGTTAATTTAGTCTAGCATTCCCCCCCCCTCCAAAAAAGCAACTCTTCTATAGCATTTGCTGAGAAAAAACTAGTATTGAAAAGTTATGTCTCTTCTTAAACACAAAGGTAACTATCAGCAATCAGGATTATAAACCTGCCCTTCACAAATTATTGTCATCTCCTATCTTGCAGTAGCATATTCTCTGAGATAGTTGCATTCTGTGAGGAACACAATCATATGTGAAAATGAAAAGAAAAGAAAAGACACATGTTAGGAGAGAGGGTAATAAGAAATTCTCTTCCCCATGTCCACATTTTTAAAATTCAGTCTTTCTTCTTAAATCTTTCCCCTCTTAATTACAGCCTTAGGTGGCTCAGCTAAATTTCACTATAATCCTGACTGAACATTAACTATAATTTTGATTTAACCCCAACATGACAATATATATTTACAAACCTAACCCCAACAATATAACCCATAAATATCATTAAAACTAACTTAAATAATAACCCTGATTTCTAATTCAACCATACCCAGTACAATATCCTAATTTAAATTTAACTTTAATATAAAACATTTACCCCATTTCAAATCTACCTTTCCCCCTGACTGATATTAAACTGAAGTTTAACCTTAACACTAAAACCGAAACAAACATTTTTATTTATTTATCATATTCTTTTTGGCTGTGACTCTGAGCCATTACAATCAAACCATAAAATCAATTTTTTAAAAAATCAATGAATAATATCATTAAAATGCTAGAAAAAAGCATCAGATTATAGTTATGTTCAATGGAGCCACCACATCAGATCACAATTCACTTGTGACCTCCTGTTGATGCAATCAGGTTTTGAAAGACTTCCAGAAGGTGGGCAGAGATGGGGCCAATCTCACTTTGGGAGGATAATGTTCCACAGAGTGTGTGCCACAACAGAAAAGGCCCATCTCCTGGCTCCTGCCAGATGTAGCTATTTGGCAGATAGGACCTACAGCATACCTGCTGGACCATATGGGATGAGATGTAGTGGGGAAGAGGCAGTCCCTCAGTTAACGTGGCCTGTGCTATAAAAGGCTCTAATGGTCAAAACCAGCACTGGGATTAGAATTTACCTTAATTCTAACCACAATGGAAAATCCTAAAAAAAATCCTTTAAAAACTGTAACACTAAGGAGTCTGATAGTCACATAGTTCCAGCTTCAACATGTTTGGTTGCAATTTTCTACTCATTTTCTGTTTTTAAAATACAGAATTAGATCCTGTATGGCTAGAATTCAGTGTGGGAAGGGTGCTAAACTTGACGTGCTTGCTGCTGACATATTCTTTTTGGCAGTCATGTGATTTCCATGGCCTTGGTTGACCAATATCACATTCTTTGCCATATGTTGCATCACAGGAATATTATGTCTCCAGCATAATACAAATAGTGTCGTAGAGATGACAAAATCCAGGGCTCTCCAATTTAGAAGTTAGGTCAATACATTTAATATTGGGATAGGTGAGCCAAAATGTAAAATGGACAAGGCTGTGATTTTCAGCAGTTATGATAAGAAAGTGTTCTGAGGGCTACAAAAAAAAGAGAGAAAGAAAATGAAAAGAAAAAGAAGGAGGATGGAATTGTAAAGGAAAAAGAAAAGGCAGAGGTGAGGCCCTATATTTCAAATTGTCATCTGGATAATCCATCATAACATTCTTATGGTAAAAAATCAAAGAGAGATGGGAAAGAGAAAATCGAGGGCATGCAAATTTAGAGACTTTCCTTATCCCTCTTCATTATTATTTTTTGGCTACCTATCTGAACACTCTTTTCCATATTATGAATATATATTCTATTGTAGACATTGTTATTTCTTTACCCTGAAGCAAAATTAACGAATGCCTTCTAAATATCTTCAAGAACTCTGTAATATTCATATATAACGAATTACAAATGTACCTTGTCTTGCCACAATAAGGCTTGCCATACAATCTGGTACACTGGTTCCAGCTGCCAGGAATGTGATCCCCATTATCACATCTGGAATACCCAAAGTGAAACCAATGACTGTGACCTAGAAAAATAAAATGAATTGTCAGGTTGCTTAAACACTGTTATAGATAATACCATCTGGTTTTCAGCGAGGTGTTCTGTGGATGGAGACACTTTAGGTTTTCCCACTGAAAATCATGAGGCTACAGCTATTTTCTGCAGGAGCAGTAGTACGTATTAGAACACTTTGGCTGAAAAAGGTATTAAGATCTAATTGGATTCCAAGAAGCCTGTGCTGCAACTGGCTTGGGTGATATTATGGATGAAACCTAGAATAGGGAGCTTGCAACCACAATTGTTACTGAGTGCACTCTCTGGTCTGCTACAGTATACTGAAAGAACTGTAGGTACTAACATGGTAAGACAGACTGCTAGAGTAGGGGTTCCTCAACCTCTAATCCATGGACTGGCACAGGTCCGCAGCATGCCAGCAATCAGGTCGTGCAAACAAATGAAATCCTATCTGCGGGATGCAGAACTACATGCAAAACTACATCCCCTCTGGTCCACAGAAAAACATTTTCTGTGGAACCGGTCCTTGGTGCCCAAAAAGTTGGGTGCCACTATGGTAGAGGCCAGATGGAGGAAAAACAGAATTTAAGAACCACAGCTTAAAAACCACTTCAAGGCTTGTGAAAGGAGAATAATCTTCATTGCAGGCAACGTGACCAGTCAAAACCGCACTCGACTAAACCGCGCCCGATTAAACCGCGTCGCTGATGTCATCAACAGGGCAACAACAGCCAGCGCGGAGAAAGGGCGCTTTAAATAGCGCTTTGAAAGCAAGCCGATTCAACTTAAGGTAAGGGTTAGGTTTAGGGTTAGGGTTAGGTTAAGGGTTAGGTTAAGGGTTAGGTTACGTTAAGGGTTAGGTTAAGGGTTAGGATTAGGTTAAGGGTTAGGTTTAGGGTTAGGGTTAGGTTTAGGGTTACGGTTAGGTTTAGGGTTAGGTTAAGGGTTAGGATTAGGTTTAGGTTTAGGTTTAGGGTTAGGTTAAGGGTTAGGTTAAGGGTTAGG